ACAAAAGTAGTGAAATATTTGAATTACACTGTATATAAATGTGTTATTCATGTCTAAAATGAAATTTTATAAATTCGCATTCTGAGTAAAACAGCTGTCAATCACTCTACTTTCACCACAGCAGGGACTGAGATATATCAGGACTGAATAATGACTTCATATTACATAACAAGGTTCATGTGATGTGTACAAAAAAAAGAATTGAGCATTAGAACTTTTTTTTTCAACCAACAATTTATTATAATACCAACAATGTATATAAATATAACTGCAAAATCTCACTATTTACAATATTGAACATCAGAACTTTTTTTCCTTCAACCAACTATTCATTATACACTGACAAAATGATCCTTCCTCCAGTAGTCCAATACATTGTCCAGTTTCAGCAGCCCCATGTATTTATAGAAATCCTCTACAGTCAAGTCAGTCCATTTGTAGGTTTTACCCTTTCCCGTCTCCTGTGCAGCCCGCTTGTTTGTGTTGGTACAGAGTGTCTGTACTGTTAGTGCACTGAAGAACAGCTTGAACAGGTCAAGGGGTTTGTTTGATACTGTTGAGCTGAGCTGTGGCCCGGGTGTGCGAGCAGGTTGAAACCTGGAGACAGGGGGAGCAGTGTCAGGGTCTTCGCCTGTCTTCCAAGACAGTGGAGCTCGCTGCTGTGCAGGTGGGGGTGATGGTGCATGGGCAGCTGGTGGCTGTGTGGGAGGTATGTGTGCTCTACGAGACCTCTTTGCTGTCCGGGTTGATGGTGATGGCTGTGGCTGTGGTGGAGCTGAGGTGTATCTTGACCTCGTCGCAGGCAGAGATGGAGGCAGCTGTCGTGATGCTAGTCCGCTAGTCGGTGGGGATGGCAGTGGTGAAGGCCCTTGATCCATGGTAGATCTCAACATGGTGGCAGGCACAGCTGGAGGCTCCTGGATAAATGTCATCTGTGGGCCGCTAGGCCCAGGCAGCTGTGAAACCTCTCCGTAAAACAAATAAAAATTGTGGGACAATAATTATTACGAAGTTCAACACACACACAAACACACACACACACACACACACACACACACACACACACACACACACACACACACACACACACACACACCTATGTATTGTACTCCCCATTACTACATAGCACTCCCCACAAATGGCAGGCACACATATAAATAAATTAAATGTCTCCGTTGTGGGACAAATAAAGGATTATCTCATGCATCTACACACACTCAAAAAAACGATTCAAGCCCTTCTTAGACTTGACACATTAATAATTGTTTCACTTTACTTAAATATTTTTATTTAAGAAATAAACCTAAGTATAGTTCATTAGTGTAACACAAATTACATTAATCAATTCACTTATTAAATGTATTTAAGACAGAGCAACTCAAAATGAATTGTTTTCATTTGGGACCGCCCCTTTGCACATCACCTTTGCGCATGCACAAAATCCGTTCTGTCATTTGCCGCCTTTTGTCTAACACTGACGGTGTGAAACTGACGGTGGAAAGTCTATTATTTGGTAAGTATTTGTTTTTTCTAGTAGTTTAGAATGTTCCCTGTTTCCAAGTAGGCCTAATGCCTTTTCATTATATCGACAAGAATATTTGAAACCACCGTGTTATATTTTGCTCCGTTTTTAGTTGGGTCTAAACAGCAAGCTAGCTAGCTTGCTAGATATGGTTAGCATTGAATACTGGATAGTAGAGATCATTAGATTATATTAAATTAGATGTCACGTTATTGTCATTGAACACAGTACACCGAAATTCAGTTTAAATTCAACCAAAAAATGCAAAGAGTAATTAAAGTGCACGAGGTAAAGCAGCAAGCTAGCTAGCTGGATAACTGGTTTGTTAGCTAGCTTGCTAGATACGGTTAGCATTGAATACTGGATAATGGAGATCATTAGATTATATTACATTCGATTTAACGTTATTGTCATTGAACACAGTACACCGAAATTCAGTTTAAATTCAACCAAAAAATGCAAAGAGTAATTCAAGTGCACGAGGTAAAGCAGCAAGCTAGCTAGCTGGATAACTGGTTTGTTAGCTAGCTTGCTAGATACGGTTAGCATTGAATACTGGATAATGGAGATCATTAGATTATATTACATTCGATTTAACGTTATTGTCATTGAACACAGTACACCGAAATTCAGTTTAAATTCAACCAAAAAATGCAAAGAGTAATTCAAGTGAATGAGGTAACAGTATGAGGCAGAGCCTGCATGCAGCCCAGTAAGCGCCGCCATTTTCTATCATAAAGCTCAGCAGGTCTGTCCATCTCTCTCCTGGCCTTAGTGCAGGCAGAGGAGGACAGGCGGAGCCACTCGTTTCTGTAGGAGTTCAGTTGAGTTTAGTTTTTTACTGCCAAATATTTAATATAAATAATGAGATAATATATATATATGTGAATCTTGTATGGGTTACCTCACTCACAAGCAGGCACCCAGAGTTGTGCAGAAACGTAGGCCTGCTTTATAAAACATGTCTACTAGACTCTTAATTTTAAAGTGTGATCTGTTATCATTTTTTTTTTGGGTTGTGCAATCTTAGGCAATTATGTGTTGTCTGTGAAAATTCAAATATATAAGCATTTTAATCACACCTCTAATATATTTATGTTGTCTTTTGCAGTTTGATCAGCATTAACAAGCATCTTGGGGCAACCTCTTATTTATGGTAAGTACACGGCTACTTTCACATTACTTGCATAAGCTGATCTGTGACATTGTCAGTTGTTCAGTGTCAATTGCTAATTCTCTTTTTTCTCTTTTTCAGGTTATGCATGTGGCAGTGCAAACACTGCAGTTTGGAACTAGCTAGCAGGTATTTGTTGTTAAAACATTTCCGGCAGACACATGCACATTTAAGGGGCAGTTGTCGCTATCCATGTCCATATACTGATTGCCCATGTTCGTTTGACACATGGAGTAAACTTTTAAATCACACATACAAAACTCATGCTAAACAGCTAACACCAAAGCCAGTAGAATTACCTACATTTAAGTGTCATGTGTGCTCACGTAGAGACTTAACAGAAAAAGATTTCTTCCAACATATTAATGGACATCTCAGGCATAATGAAACTGTACCATGTATGTTTCTAGGATGCACATTTAAAACTAACATTTACAGTACATTCAACACACACAAAAATAGGAAACACAGACAACATTCACTTAAAGACTTTATAGCCAATGTTGTCAGTACAAGTGGTGAGTTGGATCAGTCACACAGTTCTGCAGTTGGTCCAACGGAGTCTGTCGATATAGACCAGGAATATGAAACACTAAGTTGTGGTGATGCTTCAGAAATACACCTTCCAAATTTAATCGAAGAAAAAATTGCATGCATTTTATTGAAGTTGGAAAATATTGTTCACATTCCAAAGACAGTTATTGATGAAGTCCTTTCTGAACTTCACTACATATTAAGTACATCATCTTTGCCTGTCACTAGAGCTATTGTTTCTGATGTATTACAGAGCCATAAACTACAGGTTGAAGATTCAGTAGTTGGTGAGCTTTCCACTGCTCTATGCAATTCTAGTCCATTGGCCACAGCTATTGCAAAGGATGGCCCTCTTGCTACAGCATATAAACGTACACAGTACTATACATCTCATTTTGGTGTTTTAGAGCCGGTTGAGTACATACTAGATGCCCAGAGGAATAGGACATTTCAATATATCCCTCTGTTAAAGTCTTTGCAACATTTGCTCTCTCATAAAGGTGTCCTTGAACATATTGAAACGCAACAGCGGCTATTGGCTGTTCCCCAAGAGTACAGAACTGTAAGAGACGGTGAGTACTATAAACAGAATTCGTTTTTTTCTGATGAAGGTTTGAGAATCTCTGTAAATCTTTATGTTGATGATTTTGAGATTTGTAACCCTCTTGGGACATCTCGAAAGACACACAAACTTTGTGGTGTATATTGGGTTTTGGGTAATTTGCCACCAGGTTCCCATTCAACACTAAACTCAATCTATTTAGCTGTTCTATGCAAATCTGATGATGTTAAGACCTATGGCTATGGAAAAGTGTTGGAGCCTCTCTTGCAAGACTTAAGCATATTAGAACAGCACGGTGTATTTATATCTCAGCTTGGTCAGTTTGTTAAAGGTTCTGTCCAGTGTGTTATAGCTGACAATCTTGGAGCCCATGGGCTCGGGGGATTTGTTGAGAGTTTTTCAGCTGGGTCAGTATGCAGGTTTTGTATTGGAGTCAAATCAGATTTTCAGACTAAGGATGTCCAGTCAGGTGCTTTCCAACTGAGAACAAGAGACATCCATGATGTTCATGTCCAGTCTGCTCAGGAGAATGCAACTATTTGCTGTGGTGTAAAAAAGCAGTGTGTTTTAACAGAGCACCTTTCCCATTTTCATGTAACTACTGGTTATCCTCCTGACATTGTGCACGACCTTTTTGAAGGTGTTGTACCAGTTGAACTGGCTCGTTGTATGAGTTTGTTGATCTCCAAAAAATACTTCACTTTTGAAAGGCTCAACAGATTGATTCAGACATTTCCGTACAAATGGGGGGACAGAACCAATCGCCCCCATGCCATACCACGCTCTTTCACATCTAGAAACACAATAGGTGGCAATGCGCATGAAAACTGGACCTTAATAAGACTGCTTCCCTTTGTGATTGGGCACATTTTACCAGAAGATGAACCAGCGTGGCAGCTAATTCTAGATCTTAAGGACATAGTTGAGTTGGTTGTGGCCCCTGTTCACACAGATGAGACCATTGCTTATCTTGAAGCCAAGATCTATGATCATAGGCAGCGCTATCTTGAACTCTTTCCACATGTAAAGCTCTTACCAAAACATCACTTTTTAGAGCACTATCCGCAAATGATTCGTTGCTTCGGGCCTCTAATTGTACTGTGGACAATGAGATTTGAGGCTAAACATAGCTTCTTCAAGCAGGTTGCTCGTCACACCAATTGCTTTAAGAACATACCTCGTTCACTAACTACTAAACACCAGTTCATGCTTGCCTATCACACACATTCCTCCAGTGTCAAGAAGTCATCCTTGGAGGTCACACATGTCTCAATCCTGCCTGTTGATGTCCTTAATGAGGGAGTCGTGTCTACACTGAAACAAAGTTTCCCAGATGTGACTGAGGTTCATATGGCAAACAATGTGTCTAGCTTGGGTATACGTTACTGCGAGGGGATGATTATTGTACACGGATCTGCAGATGGACTGCCTAAATTCCATGAGATCATTAAACTTTGCATTGTTAAGGAGAAGTTGTGTTTTCTGGTAAAAGACGCATGTGCTTGGTACAGAGAGCATTATGGTGCTTTTGAGCTGTCTGCCTCGCCCAATACAGAGGTTGCCGTTATTGAGCTTGCTGACTTGGTAGACCCCTATCCCCTTGTTGACTACATGGTTGGGAGTTTGCGCATGGTAATGTTGAAAAGATTCATCATTGTTAAAGGTGAGTATCATTTTTAAACCTAAATAGTCTGAGCTCTGGATAGCAGGCTCTGACAAAAACTGTAAAACCATTTTTATGTTCATCTTTGATATAATCCTAATGTGTTTCTTTCACCTTGTTTCTGCTCTAGATTAAAAGGTGTTCCATAATGGCAGGTCGGGCGCTTCTGCGCATCATCTTTGCCGACCAGTCTGACTCTAGAAAACTGACCCTGGATTCGGGAATCCCAGCAACAGTTGAAGAACTGCACACATTTGTCAAGACATCTCTTCAATTGAAAGAGGACTTCCGTCTGCAATACATGGATGTTGACTTTAACGAGTTCATGAATCTTACATCAGTGTCTGAAATTCAGGATAAAAGCACACTGAAAGTAATTTACTCTCCTATATTGTCAAATATTGAGCCCTCCATCACTTTGTACACAGTTGACTCATTTGATAAGACCTCAATTACTGGAAGCTCAGAGCCTCTAATCCCTGAATCATCAATAGCCTCATGCTGCAGTGATGATATGGTGTATACGTCAACCCCGCATCCATCCCCTGAAGCTCAGGCCTCACAATTGTTATCCTGGCCCACAGTTTTTGTGGTTCCTAAGCTCACCTACGAGGCTGAATTTGAGCTTCATCTAAAGAATGCAGAGTTTGAGACAACTGGTACATACTTCCAGCCTGGCCTAAAGCTGAAAGGAGTCATTCTTGATGGCCTAGCCCAAGAAATGATCAAATTCACAAAATATCCGAAAGACTATCAGTGTGAAGAGGTAGCTGCAGCGTTGACGAGGGCCCACCCTTGTTTGGGGCAGCTAGGATCCAAGACAGGATTTGGGGGGTGGAAACAGTCTCTTAAGTACAAAATGCAAAACTATCGTACAAAGCTTGGCCGTCTTGGACATCCTGAAATCCTTGTGAACTCCTTAAAGCACAAGAAAACAGGCCAAGGCAAAGCTGCAGCAAACATAAAAAAACCAAGAAAAGCTGAAGTAAACTACATTCCTCTGCACCCAAAAGGCGAAACCACAGAAAGCTTGGAGAACGAGAGAATTGCCTTATTGTCAGAACTGAAAAAGCGTGACAATGAAGTGGTGATAAAAGCAAAAATGGAAAAAACCTTCTCCCACAGACGCCTTGAGATTGTGGAGCAAAGGCCTTTGATAGGGGACTTCAAATGCAGATGGCCTGCTCTGTTTCAGCAGAGTGAAGTAAGTAAATATTTGTATTTGTTGACAGTCTTTTATTATTGTCTTTTGTGATTCATGTCTACATCCTTGCATGGTTGTGATTCTAATAAACAAGTAACAATTGGTTGTATTGTGCTTGTTAATAATATTTTTAAGGTGAATGCGGAGTTTTTGAGGATCACAACATCACCACTTCAATCAAAGTTCATGTGGCAGCTGGACCACTTCTCAGACAAGCTCTTGAAGATCTTCAAGACCAAAGGAGGAGTGAAGGGGCACAAAATCAAGGAAGCCCTTGCAATATCAGATTCGGTTAGTATAAATGCAGAGAACCTCGTTTTTCACTGTATTGTTTTTGTCCATGATCATATGAACACATTTAAGAAATTGTCTGCTTTTATAGTGTTTTTAAGGCAATAGCTTATTGTGGAAATGTAGGTGTAAGGAGTCCTGCTTAGGGACACACACGACAGATACAGCCCTCTACTTTGTAAACTACCTGCTCTGTTGCACATGCATTGTGCTTAATTGTCTTTGATTTATCGCCCCTGCTTTAGTTTGAAAACATCCACATCAAGAGGGGGTGCATCCTGCGAAGCATCGCGATCTACCTCAACGAGGATCCAGACTCTTTTTTTAAGGAGTATCAGGTATGTTTATCACAATATGTTTTCAATGTATTGGTTAACAGTGTTACCCACAATTATAACCACCATTACTTACATTTATAATAAGAAAATTATATGGCACACAACCCTATCCCTGCTTACATCTAAATATCTTATCACATATCATAAATACATGCAGAAATAAATAAATCTATACATTAATATAGGAATGAATATATGTAAGAATGAATAAATACAGAAATAAAAAAATAATAATAAATAGATACAGAAGTAATTTCATCGGGCAAGTGTTAAAATAAATATAGAAAAAAGTGAATTAATACATTTATACAGATATAAATACATCTATAAATTAACATAGGAATACAATTGATAAATACAAATGTGAATTAAAACATGAATATATCTGGAAATAAATACAAATAATAAATGAATGCTGAAATAAATATTTACATTTATATATAAATACATCTATAAATGAATAAATAAATATGGACATGAATACATATGTAAGAACTTATAAATAATTGAATAAATACATAAATAAAATAATAAATAAATGCTGAAATATATTAATCAATAGATTCATGTTTAAAAAGGTATGTGAATGCAGCAATTACTAAATTGTTAAAGGAATAATTACATAATCACATAACAAGGAAATAAATTATTAAAGAATAAATAATCAAATACATATCGAAATAAGTAGGTAAATGCATAATTAACTACAGGAATAACAACAAATTACATTATTAAGTAGGGATGTAAACAAATAATACCTGAATTAATAAATAAGATAACGTTGATAATCAAACAGAACATACAGGAATATATCTTTATAACTTATTTATGCAAACATTTTCTTACAAGCTTAATTTAGTTCTGTGTTGGAGGTCCTAACCTTCTCTGGTATCACTCGGACATTTTTGTCCAAATTGGTAATTTTTCACATCAGATTTGGCTATAATGATTTTGTGTTTTTTCTAGATACTTTTTGGAATTTCAATTTTTCTAATCGGTCTCGAATACACTGTACAAATTACCCTAATTGTCCATTTAAAAAATGTTCCCACACTTCCCAAAAAGTGTGGGGGAAAAATATTTAAATATAATATTTGTATCATATCATTTTATCATTCAAGTTTTGAAAGTGGACATTTTTATCCTGAGTGGCCAAATAGGGTAGTACATTTGAGTGATACCAGAGGGTTAGTCTAAAACTGTTTTGATCAATTAGGAGAGCCACATAAGTAAATCTGCTTCTATAAAATGTAGTAATTCAGGTTTTAGTTAACACATATGTTGTATGTTTGTGTCTTTGTTCAGGCCTCTGCCTCTGAAGATGCCAAGAGGGACATGGCAAACACAGTCATGGGCATATACACACTTCAAAGAGATGTGGATGGGCAGCCAGAGGACGTGGGAATTGTCATCGAAGGCAATATAGTCATGGACAACTTGGGCAGCGTGATTGTGGGGTTTGTCATGCTATTGGGACTTATTTATGCCCTGGATTTGAGCTTTCCGGACAACCTCAAACACACCTTCGAGTTCATGCAGAAGGTAGTGATGAATCTGGATGGGCACAAGCTGAATGGTAAAATCGAAAGTCTGAAGATCAAGTTGTTCGATTGAAATGTGAAAAAGAAGTGACTCATGAGTTCATTGTTGTCATTTATTCACGAGTTTCCTAGTCAGAGCAGATTGAGCCGTTATATCAATCATTTGTTCTGTGCTTTTCTGTATTTGTTTCAACACACTGTAACACTATTTCCATATGTTGGTGTTTGCAGTGCACTCTTTATGTTATGTGTTATTGTCCTGTTAGAAGAGCAGTGCATACCCCTGTTATATTGTATTCATTGTATTTGGCAAAGGGAGATTTGTAAGTTAATTATAGGAGTTCCATTTCTCTGCCATTTTAAAAATGGTATTATCTTTCAGAAATGTTTTTCATCTTTCAGTGTGAATTCATTCATTTTAAAAAGACTGTATTGAATGGAGGATTGTTTTGAATAATGTGAATTTAAAAATAAAAAAAACTAAACCATGTTTTCTATCATGTGTAACACATTTTTATTAAATTATATTTAACCTCATTATTTTATTTTCAATTAATTAAATAGGATTTAGGTGGACTAGCATTATTTAAATTCATAAAGGTAATGTTATCATTTTACTTAAACTCTATTTGAAAAATTTGAGTTGGACTAACTCATTTATACGGTGGCCCTGAAGTGCAAGACACCACAGCATTTCACAAAACACAACAGCATTTCACAAAACACAACAGCATTTCACAAAACGCCACAGCATTTCAGAAAAACACCACAGCATTTCACAAAACGCCGCAGCATTTCACAAAACACCGCAGCATTTCACAAAACACAACAGCATTTCAGAAAACACAACAGCATTTCACAAAACACAACAGCATTTCACAAAACACCACAGCATTTCACGAAACACCACAGCATTTCACAAAACACTACAGCATTTCACAAAACGCCGCAGCATTTCACAAAACACAACAGCATTTCAGAAAACACAACAGCATTTCAGAAAACACAACCGCATTTCACAAAACACAACAGCATTTCACAAAACACCGCAGCATTTCAGAAAACACAACAGCATTTCAGAAAACACAACAGCATTTCACAAAACACAACAGCATTTCACAAAACACCGCAGCATTTCACAAAACACCACAGCATTTCACAAAACGCCGCAGCATTTCACAAAACACCACAGCATTTCACAAAACACCACAGCATTTCACATTGGACGGAAAGGGTATTCCTTAGGGAGAACACTTCTTGTTTGTGATTGGACAGAGCCAGCCAGAGAAGCACTGCTGTGATTGGTTGTTTTTGCTGCCAGTCAAGAAATGACGCTTCGTGATTGGCCCAACACATCAGCTGTTAGCTGTTAGCACACACTCAGAGCTCACAGCTCCTCATATCTGTTCAGAAACTGGACAAAAGTTCAACATATAAAAAACACAGACTGTCTATGTCATGGTGAATACAGTCGCTGCTTTATTTGTGTCTATATGACGTTGTTGTGAGTGTGGACGGAGCAGCTACAGGTTAGTTTAGCCTGATGGATCCGATTCCGATAGGATTTACATGGAGATACGCCCCGCCCCCTCTCCAGCGTCTTGTTTGAATAACAGGAGTAAACACAGAATGAATGCTTTATTAATTCATGGTTTTTAAGGGGCTTATCTCCATGTAAATACTATGGTAGACTACTCAATATTCGCATCGCTCTAATCACTCGAGTTTCACGCGGCTGTCAGCTGTGTTTGCTCCTGTCATTCAAACAAGACGCGCTGGAGAGGGGGCGTGGCGTATCTCCATGTAAATTTATGGGAGATACCAACTACAACAAAATGAACATATTTGACCGTGATTTAATGGTGATACATGTTTCAAAGTGATGCCGAAGCAACTACATACTGATAACGGTTAGTAAAAACCATGAATTAACGCTTTGACAAGTTTGCAGACAAGACGGCAGGCGAAAAGCTTTTAAAATGCGTGTTTTCTGAATGGAATCGGATCCATCAGGCTAAACTAACCTGTAGCTGCTCCGTCCACACTCACAACAACGTCATACAGACATAAATAAAGCAGCGACTGTATTCGCCATGACACAGACAGTCTGTGTACATGTTTAACTTTTGTCCAGTTTCTGAACAGATATGAGGAGCTGTGAGCTCTGAGTGTGTGCTAACGGCTGATGTGTTGGGACGGGACCGGTTGGGACATATTGCGCTGTCGGGCGTTGACCAATCACAAAGCGTCATTTCTTGACTGGCAGCAAAAACAACCAATCACAGCAGTGCTTCTCTGGCTGGCTCTGTCCAATCATAAACAAGAAGTGTTCTCCCTAAAGGAATACCCTTTCCGTCCAATGTGAAATGCGGCGTTTTGTGAAATGCTGTAGTGTTTTGTGAAATGGTGATGTGTTTTGTGAAATGCTGTAGTGCTTTGTGAAATGCTGTGGTGTTTTGGGAAATGCTGTGGCGTTTTCTGAAATGCTGTGGTGTTTTGGGAAATGCTGTTGTGTTTTGTGAAATGCTGTAGAGTTTTGTGAAATGCTGTTGTGTTTTGTGAATTGCTGTGGTGTCTTGGGAAATGCTGTGGCGTTTTCTGAAATGCTGTTGTGTTTTGTGAAATGCTGTAGAGTTTTGTGAAATGCTGTTGTGTTTTGTGAAATGCTGTAGAGTTTTGTGAAATGCTGTTGTGTTTTATGAAATGCTGTAGTGTTTTGTGAAATGCTGTTGTGTTTCGTGAAATGCTGTGGCGTTTTGTGAAATGCTGTAGTGTTTTGTGAAATGCTGTAGTGTTTTGTGAAATGCTGTTGTGTTTCGTGAAATGCTGTGGCGTTTTGTGAAATGCTGTAGTGTTTTGTGAAATGCTGTTGTGTTTTGTGAAATGCTGTTGTGTTTTGTGAAATGCTGCGGCGTTTTGTGAAATGCTGTAGTGTTTTCTGAAATGCTGTAGTGTTTTGTGAAATGCTGTTGTGTTTTGTGAAATGCTGTTGTGTTTTGTGAAATGCTGCGGCGTTTTGTGAAATGCTGTAGTGTTTTCTGAAATGCTGTTGTGTTTTGTAAAATGCTGTGGTGTCTTGCACTTCAGGGCCACCGTACATTTACATTATACTGCATGGATGCCATTAGTTTGAGTTTGTGCCACATATATTTATTGGATGGAAAACCTGCCAACAATAAAATTGAGTTAATCCAATGAGTTATTTCTTTGAGTGCATGTAACCTTACTTATACACACCAAAATAACGTTTACACATAAATAAAGTTTATCACAGACACACATGTAAATAAGTCTATGACAAAGTCTCATCTGTACAGAACAGTATGATCAAATAAAATACAGAATAAAGGATTATTTGTATTCATCTACACATGTACCTTACTTATACATGCCAAAATAACGTTTACACATAAATAACATTTACACAGAGTAAACGTTTACTAATCAAGAGTCTATTTGTCCCGAGAAAAAGTTCATGAGGGGAAAATAAAAAGGTTGATAAATCCATTGTTCATTTTCGCGGTACTCCTCACAAAATGGCAATGCACTACAAGTTATATTTACACTTACCCATCCTCAAATGGATCCCTGCTGTCCCTGTATTCTTCTTCTTCAGAAGAGTCGAAGCCTTCAGGTTCTGATGAGCCATCTTCTTCACTGCCGCTCGCGAAAATAAAATCCAGCGCGTCCGCAACGGTAAAGTTCCTTCGAGCCATTTTCTCTATCTTCTTCACAGACTAAAAGACTGAAACTGATGGGAGACACCTGTTATATGTTTTTTATTGGTGGGTAGGGTCCTTAGATTTCTAGAGTGTCCATTGGTCATTTCAGACCGACATGGCTGCCGGCCGGCCGAGATGTCCTTGACTGACACACAAATCCACCAATCACACACAGTGTAACGCCGAATCAAGCTGCTTTGAGCGGCAATATTGGCTGCTGTGCCCTGGGTACAGTCTCACAGGAGATACTCTTGAAAAGCTACGATTCTAGCGATTCCGCAGATATCTGAATCATATTTCTACTCCTTACAAGCGAAAATCTATGATTAAATACGTAAATAAATGTGCACCACCGACTCCAGAGGGTTAAAGTGCAACTTTGTTGGTAGGATTAAACTGCCAAAAGCTTTTTCAGGCTCAACACCCTGGGCTTCAAGGGCTTCAAGTTCCCCTCATCCAGGCCCATCAACACTTTCTGGGTGAAGTCGAAAGTGTTGGCCAAGTCTTTTGGGTAGCTCAGATGCAGGGCAAAGGTCAGTGCAAAAAGCAGGATGAGCCGTCACTGCTCGGCTCTTGGTAGTTCAGGCATTTATCAAACCTGGCAACCCCGGGTTTCCTGGCAGCTGTCAATCAAAGTCCAGTGGCTCCGCCCCAAAGTGCCAGAAACTTTTCACGCGCGCGTAGACAGACTCCGCGAGGCTGACACTCCCGCGAGCAAGCAAAAGGGCTGTCTCTCTCGCGAGCGCAGAGCCGCTCGCGGGGGTTTCATCTGCGCGCGAGGGTCATTTTATGCGCGTGTAAAATCACATTTTCCGCTCGTGAGTAGCTTGTTTTACGCGCGAGAATATTGACCCAAATCTGACTCCATCGGGTTACTGTGAAGATGGGAGGGCTTGTTGGTCCCTCTCTACATTCACAGAGGGCCCAGCTATAGTAGCTCAACGAGAGAGTAATGTCAAATGACAGTACAATTGACCAATCATATATTCCCTCTAAATGGGCGGGCTTTATTTTCGCGGACTTTATGACAAGTTCCGCCCGCTGTGAGGTCTATGCAAGTGGTGCAGTGACGCGTCCTAAAACCCGGAAGTAAGCTGCGCTCGGATTCCCTCGACAGAAAGCAGTGGGATTTCTCCATAGGATTTTGGAAAATAGCTCGAAATAAGGTCTGTGGAAAACGAACCTGTTAGATAAATGCACGTTGTGTTCAGCCGGATAATATCCACATGTCTATCCTACTTTTATTATTTTTGAATCATAAATCTAATCGATAGATTTATGATCGATAGATTTATGATTAGCATAAGTTCGTTCATGATGGCTCACTTCAGTGATAGTGATGACATCGTTGCGAAATTATTAACCGAGTCATTTTCAAGATTGAGTTACAATGATAAACTGGAGTGGCAAAGGATCAGCTGAATGACCCGCAAGTGCTTCACCCAAAAGGACAGGAGGATGGACTTTGTGTTTAAGTGATTTGATCATCAGAGGTAGGCCTAAGTCATTTTCAATGCGGGCCGCCGTGCCGACTTAATTCATTTGTAATTGGTACTTGGCTGTGGGTGCCCTGTCATGATAGGTGTTTATATAAATGATGTTGTTTTGTGTGGTAGAGGGTCGCTGTCATTGATGCGTTTTGCACCCCGGACCACTGTTTTGATATTCGCCACTGACTTAGAGGCATAGAGGATTTACGTTAATTTGATCCACATTCATTTTATCCACTAACGTTGTACCATAACCGTGCGTTCTGCATGTTTTGTAAAAGAAAGCTAACTTGTAACCCATTGTAAAATGAATAGTCT